CGGTATTTTATTGAAAACCGGCAATATGCTGTTTTAAATAAATAAAAGAAATAAATAATTTGAATTTTTAACAAAAAAAATTAAAAATTATATAAAAATAGCATTTTAGTTGCACAAATTGCAACATACGTGCCAATACAACGGTATTTTATTGAAAACCGGCAATATGCTGTTTACTCTCATACAAAAAATACTAAAAAAATTTAAGTTGTAGGTATGTACCAAGAATATTTTGCAGCGATTTTTTTAAATTCTGTGCTGAAATTTAATATGTGTGCACATAAATCACATGCTCGCCACATACACACACATCCATCTACATATATACAAATATTAATATGTACATGTATTAACGTATGTATATACATACATATATGTATGTGTAGATTTTTCCAAAAAATACTGTATACACGCTGTGTGTCCTTAGCACAGCTTTCGCTGCTCTGCTATTAGACGGGTGACGACAGCCTTTCAGCCGCAACTATTCACTACGAAAACTATTTGTTTCCAAAAAACATGCCACACAACTCAACACACACATGACATGTATGTTTGCGGAAACATTTCAAAAATAAGAAAATCATCAAATATTTCTTTTCAGTTGTTCAACCCCCCACCCGCTGCGACTAATTGCGAAATTTAATATATATATTTTTTTTGTCGGTACAAATGCTCACATACCCGAATTATTGAGGCACCCAAAAATAACCCATCCCAGCAGCAGCGCGGCGACGCTCGCGGAGACTGCATTGTTGCGCACTGATGTCATGGCTGGCTGGCTGGCTGGCTGACTAGCTGACTAGCAGGCAGGCTGGCTTTCCCGAAGTGAAAGAGAAATTTTCGATAATTTGTCCCAATGACAATTTGAGGAATCTGCTGATTATGGCAGATAACTATGCACTAGCGACGCGTTTACTTTATGTATGTGTGTGTATGTGTGATTAAACACAAGCAGCTGCMGAAAAAAAGTGAATTCAATGTTTTTGCACCAAACGACGCACGTTTACAACAAACAAAATCAATTGTTGTTGAACAACTGCACTTTACGAATACAAGCAAATATTTTTTCGAACAATTTTCGCGAAAAAACTGCAAAATTTTTTTTTCGAAAATTTTCAAATTTTTTTAAATTATTTTCGAAATTAATTTTTTCAAAATTCTTTAAAAACACTGTATGTTTAATTGCAATTCGAGTTAACAGGACTACTTTATCCGTTATGCTTTGGCGTTGCTTTTTTATTTGTGCAATGAACACCAGCGAAGGCGGAATGTTTTGATAGTTTTTTCGCACAGCCACACAGCGTACTGAATCACTACATTCGAAATATCGGACTCAGGCGGGCGAATCGTTTTGTCGTTGCCGTTGCTGTCGTTGTCGTTTGTCGTTATTGCTCGTTCGGCATGTTTATTTGTTTGTTTGTACACAGCCACATACGGATGTGCCCTATGTATGTATGTATGTATGCATATCTGTCTATCCGCTTGTGTGTGTGTAAGTATGTCAGGCGTAGAAATATGAAAGAATGACGTGAGACTCCTCTGCGCGAAGAATACCCAATATTTATTTCAGCACCGAAGCATAAGTACGAGCAGATAGTTGGATGTATGTATCTAACCAAACTCGCCTGCATTCGCGCGAACAACAACAAAAATATGCATAAGCATGTTTGTGTGCGCGCTCGCGACCTAATGAATGAGTGTATTTGTGAGTGCGGGTGTGCGTTTGTATATGCATTTCTTGTTAATAAAAAGAACCGAAAAAACAAAGGCCAAAAAAAGTCTCAAAGTCACCACACTGCGACGGCATGCGCCGAAGCTCCAGCACACAAGAGCAACAAGGCAACGAAACGGTGCAACAACAACTCAACTATGAGCCACCACCGTTGTAGTGCTTGCCACTGCCAATGCGGCTGCTGCCACAAGCGCAAGCACAAGCATACATGCACACTCACACAAAGAAACAAAAACAAAAAACCAGCGCTGCCGCTCGCGTTCAATACTCGCCGATGTACAATATTTCCTGGGTGCGTACAAAGCGTATGTACATATGTATGTAGTATATGTGAATTTCTGTAAATATGTAAGTATTATATGCACGTTTGTTCGATTGCGTATAACAGCTGTGCGCGTATAAAGGTTATGTCATGCATTTTATAACAGCCAGCAAAGCAAATTCGCCACATCTACACATACATACATACATGTTTACGTTCATATGTTCGCGGAAGTGCAGTAGAGCGGCAAACAATTTTCGTAGCATACATATGTGCGCAAAAGCACTAGCTGCTCAGCATAAGTTTCGTTCAGTTGGGAAAAGCGGAAAGTGGCGAGCTTTCGGCCCGGGCGTGTGCTTTTTTATGTGCATACATACATATATACACATATATGGGCATTCAATTTCCCACAATTGCTATTTGTAGCTAGAAAAATGTCCCACTGGACATTTGCARTTGGTTATTTATTGGCGGTGCTTTTGAGCGAGCAGCTTTACGGTGTTTGTTGGGAATGTTTGCGAAAGCTATTATTATATTTAAAGAACTATACGAGCTTATAAGCCTATTTAATTTTTGAAATGAATATATTATATATATGGACATGCCCACATATATATATGTACATATGTATATGTATGTAAACAATATCTCAAAATAATTACTTACGGCCAAGTAATTATTAGATATTAAATGTAAAAGAAAATTAGTTGAAATGATATGGAATATTTCTTAAAATTATTGAAAAAAAATGTAAGTAAAAAAAAAATATATATATAAATTTAAGTGAATATATGAGTCATAGATAGCAAAAAATATTTACTAAAAAGTTTTCSAACATAAAATTTTTAATAGTGGTTTTAAATTTTTTAAGAATATTTTTARAATTTTAAATTCTTCACAAAGAAGTTAAATAAAGAATCATTTTAATGATTTTGTAAAACTGGAAATTTTTTAACTTTTTTTTAAATTTTAGAAATTATAATTATTTCCACAAATACAGAATAAAAATATTTTTTAATGAATTTGTACAACCAGAATTTATTTTTGTTGTTTTATAAATATTTTCTCAATTTTAAATAGTTTTTAAATTTTTTAATATGTTTTCAAAACTTTTAATAAGTTTAAAATTCAWTTCATGGTACATAAATTAATAATTCCACAAAGGCGCAATAAACTACTGGTTACTACTAGTTTTTAAATTTTTTATTTTTGCTTTTTAACTTTTTATAAATTTCAAATTATTTACATAAATGCAAAATCTAGAATAATTTTAATACATTTTTACAACCCGAAAATTTTTCTACTCTTGCAACCTGTTGCTACTGAGTATAATTATAACAGGTTTGTTCACCTGAGGGTTGTATGTATCACCTAGGACTAAGCGAGATAGATATATGGTTATATATACATATGTATATCAGTATGCCGAAGTTGAAATCCAGTTGACTATCTGTAACTTGAGTAAATATTTAGATATCTCGATGAACCTTGGTATGTAGGTTCCTTGGTACAAAGAAAATCAAGTTCGTAGATAGGCGTAATCGGACCGAACCACTGCCACGCCCACAAGTCGCCATTAACCGAAAACCTATACAACTCTAATTTTGCACAGGGGATCGCATTAGCAAGAGGCCCGTGTGGATTAAAAATTTTAAAAAAGTGGTCGTGGCACCGCCTGTAATAATTTATCTACCGAAATGATGAGCGTGGCACTGCCCATAATCTCATATCTCGGGACCTGATCGACCGATTAGATTTACTAAATTTAGTACGTGGCATATTTTTTGTATTCCTATACAACAGCTTTGGGTAAATAATAATTCTTTTGATGACCCCCCTCTGCAAATATGTTAAGGATTATGATTTGAGGGCATGCACCTGGAATGTTCGGACCCTTATTTGAGAAGGCGCCGTCCAGCTGGTTGATGTCCTCGTTAGAGTAAAGACTGACATCACCGTCGTCCAAGAAGTGCGATGGACTGAGGCGAGTAGGTCCTTGTGGCATTTATTACAGTGGCCATATAAAGGAGCGCAAATTCGATGTGGTTCCTCTGAGAGTTGTCCCCGCCAGGATGTCAAAATCTTGCTTTACGACTTTAATACCAGGGTGGGCAAGGAAGGTATCTTTGCCTCAAATAAATTCATCAATACATGCCAAATTTTATAAAAAAATATCTCGTCAAATGAAACAGTTTTCCATGAAAGCATTTGAATCTGATCGTACAGTTTGTATGGCAGCTATATGCTATAGTGGTTCGATATCTCCCTGGTATTATAAATATGGTACTACCATTTAACCGGATTAAATAAAAATTCTTACCCAGTTTTACACACAGACGAATTTCGTATAAATACTTAATATACGAGTCTAGGTATGTATGAGTACATAGCAGAACTATTATCCTCAATTCCGAGAGAGAGGCGAGATAATAAGAGTTTTGGACCAATATTTGTTCAAGAAGTATGTTGGTTTAAACAATTGTTATGCACGATTTGCCTGGTAGATAGATATCGTTTCTATGAGAAAAGGCAGTATGTAGAATTGGATGAATGTGGTTTTCATTTAATTGCGACAATGGCTATTTTCAAGAAACCCCTAAAATAATGGATCTTTATATGTTATCTCTAGAGTCTAACCGGGATAGTCGGGACATCTCTCAGAATCTTCGCCCATTAAGAACCTAGTCTTTGCTCAAAGCTGTCAGGAAAAAAATACTAACAGAAGACTTGATGAGAGCTATGCGGGCCCTGAAACATCTAAAACAGGCGCAATTCAAATGAGTAGCAAAGATATTGAATACAATAAACGAAAAAAGCAAAAAACTGGCCGAAAATGAGGTTCAGTGACATTCAGAGGATATCAAAGGATACCAAACTGACTCACCGTTTCAATACCAAAGTTTTGAATTTGGCATAGAATTGCTTAGGCATTCACAGTATACATAGTGTGCCTAAGGCACCCATGACTTTTTCCTACTCTCTGAGCTCAGAACAACCGCATCTGTATAGATAAATCTAAATTATAGACGTCCAATTTCGAAGCAAAGTATCAAAATTACAGTATAAATGGTATCAAAGAGGTGAAAGTTACAACCACTGGAGAGCACTCAGACACTCGCCTCTGGCACTTGTGATGCAAAAAAGATTAAACAGAAAATGGGTTTCCTTTCCACAACGTAGTCTAAGATTTCGGCCTATCAGCAGCACCCTTAACGAGCTAAACTGAAAATTAAAAAATCGCAACATTGCGCCCTAAACGCCCAGTATCAACACCCGACATAGAAAGGGCCCACTGACTGCACTTAATAGCCAAACTGCGAGCAAAGAATGAAGATGCATAGAAATAATTGGCAAAATAAAGCAATTAAAAATGACAATACACTTAGCTATAAAGGCAGACGTAGGCGCATACATTCCCATTCACTTGTATTCCTTGCACATCCTTTTAACTCTAAAGTGTCCATCAAAARTGCTGYCTACAGAAGACACACACYGAATGCGGCTGCAGCTCCTCAACGCKCGCACAACGCAGCAATCGGATTTGTGTCATCCGAACAATTCCATTTCATACGCGCRCACCGCCCCAGCAGTCTGCATTGCTGCAAAAAGCATTTGACCCCTTTAGGGTCCTTGATTTTTTACCTTCTGCCTATTATGGCCGTTTTTTATTTTGTGGCTCATTTCGAAATTGACAGACACTTAGCAATTTTCAAGTAATGCTGCGTGGAATATCGCTGCGCATTCCGTGTTTATTGTACTATTTAATTCGTTAYGTACTTTATTAGTTGGTCCGCCGTGTCCATKTGTGCTAGTCGTGTAAMGACGCTCKGTCTGTCTGTTYGGTTGATGAACAGCGGGGSCTGTGCGCCCTTTTCACTGCGCCCAATGTAGCTGTAGTCTGKGTGAGTCTACAAGCGCGGACAGAATTTAGCCACTGGCTAATCTTTGAAATTTGTACGCATCGCCCAATGCGTAAATCCGTAACAGCGYGGGTCTTTTMCTCGGATTTATTTGCTTTTTGTTTATTTCTTTTTKCACCGATTAATATTACAATTCGTGGTAGGTGTGAGCGGTGCGAAGGCGATTGGCACGGCGGGATACGGCTGCCACTTTACCTACTTAGGACTTTGGTGTTAAAAGAGAGATATATCCGAAAGCTTAGTAGGTCCTAAGACGTTGGACGGCAGTTACTCGCTTGTATTTAGTAAAGCGTGTCTAAACGAGAYTAACGCCTGTGGTGTGGCGATGTGAATGGACAGTGAGTTAGCAGTTTGTTCGCCAAASAGTTCCGAAAATAAAGGCTTGAAAGCGTTGTTTGATATTT